GGCGGGTTTGATCGGTCAAGATCTATATAATTAGATTGTTAATAGTTAATAATGGAATTTTATTACATGCAAAAAAATTTTTTTTCGAGTTGTAAATTTTATTTTATTAAATAAATTTGTTGGATTTCGTTCATGTTTTCTCTTGATCGTATATCTTAAATTGATCGCGTTTACAATCATTTGACATTCGTTATTTTGATTATATCGAGAGATATGGTCAAGAGAAGAGTTAGGAAGAGAGTTATTCTTCAACCAAGTCAAAAACCAACCCTTTAAATACATTTTTGAGTAGTACAATTTAATTTGTTAGACTATTTCAAGGGTCTGATTCATTTCGTCAACAATCATTTCGTCGACAGTCATTCCGTCGACACCCATTTCGTCGAAAGCTTGTTTCATCGAAAGTTCATTTCGTCACAAAAAAAACTTCATTAAACAAATTTCTCCTCGCACTTCCCACACACCCCGCTTTCCTCACCTAATTTCTTAACTAACTTCACACTCTCCTCACATCTAACTCGTTTGGTCTCTGGCTCGAGGATGAAATAATTTTCGACGAAATGAACTTTCAATGAAACAAACTTTCGACGAAATGATTGTCGACGAAATAATTTTCGACGAAGTAAACGCGACCAAAAAAAACACAATATTTATTCACCAATTCCAAGTTATCATCCGATGAAGTATGAAAATAATCTTAATACAGTGTAATAAGCCACAGAATCTGCAAGCGGATCTTTTCAATTGAAGATAAATCTTTCTGTTAGAAACACATTATACAATTAGAATAATAAATAAGAAGAAAAGAAGAAAGTATGTTTGTTAATAAATAAATATTTATTAATATAATTTTTTTTTGATATGTTGCGGCGAATTTTCTGCACAAACCCTGCTAATAGATTATTGGCTACCTTTAATGTAGCACGCACGCACGCACAAACTGGATGTAACTTTATTAATCATTCCCATTTAAATTGACACACATAAATCTTTTCAAATTATAATAAACACTTATTATGTAATGAACTGTTTTACTTGCTATGTTATAATATAAACATTATAGTTTGCATGAATCTTAACAACGTAAAAATTATAACCAACAATAAAAAATAAAGATAAATATAAGATGAAGTAAAAAAAGTTAAAGAGATAAATGAAGTTATCAAAGAGCCGAAGAGCAAATACAGCCTATTTACTCTATTTTCTATTTAAAATAAAATGAAAATCAATCAACTGTTAATATTTTTTTCAAAAAAATTAACTGTAATAATGGTAAATGATGAGAATACTTGCCTATTTATTATTTAAAATAAAATGAAAATCAATCAACAGTTAATATGTTTACAAAAACAATGGTAATGGTAGTAAATAATAAAAATACTTACCTTTTATTTATTATTTAAAATAAATGAAAATCAACAGTTAATATTTTTCAAGAATAATATTCCATGTAATAATAATGATGAGAATACTTACACTCTATATTTATTATTTAAGCTAAAGCGAAAATCAACAGTTAATATTTTCAAAAAAACAATTATATTGACTGTAAAATGATGAAAATACTTACAGAGGAATTCTATATTTATTATTTAAGATAAAACGAAAAATCAAAAGTTAAATATTTTCAAAAAACAATGATATTGGCTGTAATAATAATGATGAAAATACTCACCTACACTATTTATTATTTAAGATAAAACGAAAATCAACAGTTAATATTTTCAAAAAAACAATTATATTGACTGTAAAATGATGAAAATACTTACCGATGGAATTCTATATTTATTATTTAAGATAAAACAAAAATCAACAGTTAATATTTTCAAAAAACAATGATATTGGCTGTAATAATAATGATGAAAATACTCACCCTACACTATTTATTATTTAAGATAAATCGAAAATCAACAGTTAATATTTTCAAAAAAACAATGATATTGACTGTAACAATAGTGAAATGTTGAGAAAGAATATTTACAGTCTATATTTATTATTTAAAATAAAATAAAAGCCAACAGTTAATATGTTTTCAAAAACAATGATATTGACTGTAATGATGAGAATACTTACCACCTGCCCATTATTTAAAATAAAATGAAAGCCGACAGTTAATATGTTTTCAAAAACAATGATATTGACTGTAGTAATAATAATGACGAAAATACTTACAGCCTATATTTATTATTTAAGATAAAACGAAAGCCAACAGTTAATATGTTTTCAAAAACAATGATATTGACTGTAATATAATGATGAAAATACTTACCATCTATTTATTATTTAAGATAAAACGAAAATCAACAGTTAATAAATATGTTTTCAAAAACAATGATATCGACTGTAGTAATAATAATGATAGAATTAGTGATGGGCGGGTTTATAACAACCTAGTTTATACCCTGTTATATACCTGTTATATACCATGTTATATACCATTACCACTTTTATAACACGTTTATACCATGGTTGTACAAAATAATAAAATTTTTTAAATGAGAAAATGAGGCCACAGCATTTTATTTGGAAACATTTCAAAAAGTCACAAGAAAGAAAAAATAACAAGCAGCATTATATAGCTTCTTGTAATTATTGTCAACATGCTTTTGATGGACAACCTCTTCGCATGATTAAACATTTACTTTCTTGTAATAATGCACCAAATGAATTGAAAATATTGTTAAAAAATAAAACTAAAGATTTTGATAATGTTCATAGAAAAAATAAACAAAAAGTCATGGAAGGATTCATTGATAAATGTTCAATTAAAGAAAAAGAAGAACTAGACAATTATTTATCTCTAGCAATTTTTGGTAGTGGTCTCCCCTTATCAATTGTAGAAAATCAGTATTTTATTAATTTTTGTAAAAAACTACGTCCTGCTTATGAATTACCATCCAGAAAAACACTCACTATCAAATTGTTAAATGATAAATATAATGAAATTACTGAAAATAATAATAATCAAATTGAAAAATCGAAATATGTCTGTATAACAAGTGATGGCTGGACAAACAACCATAATGAATCAATTATTAATTTCATGGTTACTTTACCAAAACCACTATTTTGGAAGGCATTAGAAACCAAAGAATCATCACACACTGCTGAATATATCTCAGAAAAAATAGAAGAAGTAATTAGTGAAGTTGGCCAAGATAAAGTTGTTGCAGTTTTGACTGATAATGCAGCCAACATGAAAAAGGCTCATAAGATTCTTAATAATAAATTTAACAAAATTATTTTTATAGGTATTTGTTTTATAAATGTTTAAATTAACATGATTATTAGAATTACTAATTTTTAGTTAATTTCAGGTTACTTTGCACACGGAGTGAATCTTATTATTAAAAAAATTATAGATTTACCTTGGGCAAAAGAAATTATAGATTCTGTCAAAGATATTGTTAAATTTTTTAAGAAACATCATATTGAAGGGTCATGTTTAAATAGAATCCAAATTGAAAAAATTGGTAAAAGAATACAATTGCAATTACCTGGTAATACACGTTGGGGCTCTCATTATTTCTGTTTAAATTCAATAATTGCAAGTAAAAAAGCTTTGCAAGTAACTATCATTTATATTACATATTTATGAAAGGCTATTTCATTCTAATGTTTTATTTAATAATTTGATTTAAATAAATTATATAGGTTGTTGTTTTTGAAAATGCTGTACAAAGAACAATCACCTCAGAATTAATATCAAAATTAGTTGATACCAATTCATTTTGGCCAGCAACAGAACTTTTATGTTCTTTTTTAAAATTATTTGTTGATATGTTTAAAATATTTGAAAGTGATAAACCAAATTTATCATCAGTATATAACGAGTATGTAAAGTGTAATTAATTTTATTATTTTATTTTATTATTTTTTGAAATATCATTACTAAATATCAATTAAATAAATACAGATTTATTATTCTTGGGAATGGAATTTCAAAATCAACAATTCCTATCAAAGATGAGGTTTTGGATATATACAATCATTATAATGAAAAATTATATCATCCAGCCATTGCTATTGCTTATTTTTTTGATCCTAGATATAAAGGCAAATATCTACCAGATAGAATTTCAAGTATCTCATATATAGTTGAAGAGACAGTCAAACTTACTGATAAAACAAATATTGGAAAATTAACTAAAGAGATTATGGAATATCATGCCAAGTCTAGTCAGTTTAGTTCAAATTTTTTGTGGTTAAAAGAAGCAATTGAGGATCCAATCACTTGGTGGTCATCTCTAGAGAAAGATATTCCAATTTTAAGTCAGGTTGCAATAAAATTAATGAAAATACCTGCTTCTTCTGCAGCATCAGAACGTAATTGGAGTGATTTTGGTTATATTCATAATATTAGAAGAAATAGACTCACAAATGAAAATGTATTTAAACTCGTTTCAATATATTCCAACTTAAGATTATCTAATTCATATGAAAAAGGATTGAAAAATGATTCTGAATATCAAGCAGAGATCAATGACAAGAGTAAAAATGAAGATGGAGATGAAGAAATTGATGATTATTGGGATTTTGATTATAATGACTATGATTATAGTGAAAATTATGATGATGACAATGATTTTGATGAATTTATTAATTTAGAAGATAGTGATAACATTCAAGAATTCTACAAAGATGTATAACATAAGTTTATTATACAATTAGCATTTCTTATTATAAATAAATATTCAAACCAAAATTGTTATCTTATTGCATATTAATGGTATATACCAACGAATGGTATATACCATTTATACCCGGTATATACC